GCTGACCGGCTTAACAATAGTGGCCTATGGCTATGTGAGCCTGGGCTACCACGCTGACCGAACAATAGTGGGCTATCACTATGTGAGCCTGGACTACCACGCCGACTGGCTTAACTCCAAGTTAGCCGATGCATGCCATTTTACTCTCTAGTGCAGATAAAAGTTGTCAAAGTTAGTGCAAAAAACCCCTGGGTGGACTGACCTGAATGAACTGAAATAAAAGCCGAATATAAAATTCAGTTTTCTGAATTACACAGCACAGCGAGAGCACACGTCGCACGAGCACATTTCTCCGAACTACACTAACCATAATGCATTTCGCTCAGAACCATAGAAAGTGATCTTCAGTGTCTGTCTCCCGCAACACTGTCCTTGATATGACTGCGATAAGCGCGTGCTTCTGATGCTGCGTGCAGCTGAATGATGCTAAATGATGCTGAACACAGATGCTAAATGCTGCTGCTAATAAGCTTAATATTCGCTCCTGCATACAATGCAAACTGCTAACATGACACTTAGTTTAAACTTGATTATGGTTGCTCATTTTTGAATTCAATTAAGCAGACCACGCAATACACACAGTGATATGTGTATGTCTCCCTCATCTATCACACCTGATTCAACTCTTCAGCTCATTAGTGGAGACTGCAAGACCTGAAGTGGGTGTGTCAGATATAGGGAGACATACAAAACGTGCAGTGCTCGGGGTACTTCATGGAGAGGTTTGAGATGGGGTGAGTTAGACCTATCGGACTGCGGCATCTAGAGTTTCATGCCAGAATTCTTTACTTATTAATTTGACATATTTGTCTCCAAATCACTAAATGTAAAACACAAAGCTCACCCCACTCTCTCCCTATACAGACAATTTGTTTATGTGTTTAATAGTGTAAGTTTCTAAGGATATACAAAGGCATTCGACGTAAACCTAAAAGTTTATTTTAGAAATGAAAACTTATTGTATATTTGATGTGAAACAATATAACACCCAGTGAAAAGTGTTAGATGAAATGCTTGGAGACTATTGAAACAGATTTTCAAAGCGGAAAAGCAGTCAACCCCGGCATCTGTTTGGACAGCTCCCCTGTAATATTACCACACGCATGCATACTTCATCCTTTCTTTTCTCCTCCCATCCCGTTTCCTCATCGCTCTTGCTCTCTCTCTCTCGCTCTCTCTCTCTCATCCTCCTGAATACTAATTCAAGCTGCTCAGCCTCACGGTCCTTAATATGATTCAAAGCACACCTCCTTGGTTAGCCCTCTCCATTCCTCTTCAAAGGTTCTTCTTCTGTAAACGCTGGCTGAATGCAGTGACAGAATTTGTTTAAAAAAATAGAAAAGGAAGAAACCTTACTTGCTTGAGGCAGGGAGAGTGTGCATGTACGGACTGAACAGCATGTGTGTGTTTGTCTGGGTATATTCAAGGTTACGGATCTCCACGGACACACTGGACATGACAAGCAAACATGATGAGCCGGTTTTATATAGATGTACAAACCTCTTCAATTTGAGCGTGAGGGGTGAGAAAGCAAGTAGAGAGGGAGTCCGAGAGATCGGGAGAGATAAATAGATGTTTGTACATGCTTTGGAGAGTGCAAGCGCAACAGGAAAATAAGAGCGAGGGAGGGGCGGCAGAGTTGGGTGGGGAGACAGATGCACCGCATTGTCAAGTGATAATGGAGAGAACCAAAGAAAAGAGATGCCCCGTACGATTAGTCAAGATATTGATCCGGGAACTCCAGGGAATTGCGTGTAACTTCTGATCAACGCTCTTTCCTCTTGTTGTCATTGTCATTTCTCAATGTCATTGTCAGCTGTATGATACTACAACCAGTAGTATCGATTACAAAGGGATTTATGGGAACATAAGTGGCCGGTGAGCGGTTTCACACCGTTCTCTCCCATTTCACAGACACACTGACTTAGTGACTGACTAACTCCGATATCTCGGCTCACCAGAGAGTACTGAGGGGGTTGCAGCGAGGCAAAGAGGGAGGGAGGGTGGATGACGGCGAGAGTGTGTTGGAGGCGTGCACACACACTCGCTCTCGCATACAGCCTTACGGAGACAGGAGGGGAGAGTCAGAGACGCGGAGAAGAAGAAGAGGAGTGAGAGAGAGAGAGAAGGAGAGAATGTCTGCTGAGAGGGTGGCTGTCGTTCCCAGGGAATTGCGTGTAACTTCTGATCAACGCTCTTTCCTCTTGTTGTCATTGTCATTTCTCAATGTCATTGTCAGCTGTATGATACTACAACCAGTAGTATCGATTACAAAGGGGTTTATGGGAACATAAGTGGCCGGTGAGCGGTTTCACACCGTTCTCTCACATTTCACAGACACACTGACTTAGTGACTGACTAACTCTGATATCTCGGCTCACCAGAGAGTACTGAGGGGGTTGCAGCGAGGCAAAGAGGGAGGGAGGGTGGATGACGGCGAGAGTGTGTTGGAGGCGTGCACACACACTCGCTCTCGCATACAGCCTTACGGAGACAGGAGGGGAGAGTCAGAGACGCGGAGAAGAAGAAGAGGAGTGAGAGAGAGAGAGAAGGAGAGAATGTCTGCTGAGAGGGTGGCTGTCGTTCCTCGTTCACAAACCGGCCCTCGCTGAGACACCATGGGCTGTATCGGCTCCCGCACCATCAGTAAGACCCTCTCTGTTTTGATTGCCTTTCTTTTCCAGGTTGAAAGGAGACCAGCTAGGGGTAGAGGAGCGATAGGCGATGCTCACACGCATCCCCCCTCTCAGGGAAATGGTGTGTGTTTCTATGGAAACCTTTTGGTTAAAGGCCATTTGTCCTCCAGGCTTTGACAGTGATTCGGCATGCTGCTTTTGGGAAGCCGGGATGGAGGTGTCTTGAGAGCCATTAGTACGTCTGGAATTGATAGCCGCATGTGTCCGCGTGCATGCGGTAGATGCAGACAGACCGTTTGCCCAGTGGTAAAAAGATCCAAAGTGGAATTTTTGGAGCGTACGATTGCATTCAATGCACCTCCAGAACAGACGGTCTCAAAGACTCGCCGTATCTAACATTGTGCTAAGGTCACGTTAGGAGCTGTTTGTTTGAAAACAGCAGCAGTTCACAGGTTTGAGTGTGTACGTTCATTCATGCAGGTTAACCGAAGGAGGTGTTTTTCAGGATCAGAGGTGCAGGGTCCACGCGCTCACGTGCAAAAAGCGTTCAGGTGTGACGTGGAGCCGGCTGGATGCGCTTCACATGTAGGTCAAATTCTGCAAAGTCAACGGCACCGGTGGGCACATGTTCCTGCCAAACGGGTATGCGTTAACAAAACCGTTGATGACAAATTGCAGGCGTTGCACGATTAATATTCTGCTGTAACTGTGAGATGGCTGGCAGGCTAACTACCCTGGAGAGAAGACACAGAATTGTTCCTCTTAAACGTGTTTTACGATGCTGTACGCCCATTAAGACGAGAACGCAGCATCAAAACAAACCCAGGCAGCTGATGGAGTGATAAATAAATAAATTCTGCTGTATTTGACCTTTGATTGTCATTGAGCTGTGATGCCAAAGGAACAGAGAGTCTAGATGGAAGGTTTCTTTCACATAATAAAGCTATTGCACAAAGTGTCAGAGTAGGACATATTGGGTAATTAGGGATTAAATGTAGTTACTCAGCAGGATATAAATACTGGCTGTATTTATATCCTGCTGAGCAACTAAATTTAATTGCCTCTTATAGAAATACTTATTTTTTTGATTAAAATTTCATATGTATATTCAAGATGTGGCACTGAAATGGGCCGGGTATCTGAAATGCTCTGGAGAGGAGCGTGGATTGCATATTTAGTGTGTTTGGCTATAAATAGTGTCTACTTTACAGTGACCGAAAAGGAGAGGAGAGAGGATAAGATGCATGCTAAATAATATGGGTCAAGTGCCTGATACGGGCCTGTGGTTGTTCACCCCCTTATTTTGAGCGAAGCAAACACTTCTCATGTAAGCTGAGGAAATTTATGTGCTGTCGAGATGTTGCACTGATGTTCTTAATGGCTCAACCAAGGCCCTGTTATCGATTTTTTTGTTATTCTTGACTTCATGAGCTCACAAAGCAAATTGTTGCTACAGCCAGAAATAGAAACATTCTTAGGTCTACATTGATCATCACAAATCCTGTAGAGATTCAGTGTTAACGGTAAAATGCATTGCATTAGAATTTTTAAACTTTATATGTATATGTATGTATGTATGTGTGTGTGTGTCTGTGTGTGTGTGTGT